CTGCATTCCTCATTTAGTCGTTTTCATATATCAACACTGTAAAATGATGTGCCTTGATTTTGAATGACCAGTTGTGTGGGAATACCCCTCTGCTCAGATCAACCCACCTGCTTTGATGCTCCACACAAATTCATCTCCCTCTTTGCAAAGAATATTTTAATTTAACTCCCAAATGCCTAAGGATCCATATAAACCCCCAAATCTGAAAGGGAAGTGTGCTGAGAGCCAGGCAAGGAGCAGGCATGGAAAATCCCTGCCTCTCCTCACCCTCCAGAGCGTGCAGAGGGGTGAGTGAACTGACCCTGAATGCACAGTCACTAAAGATGGGTTGAAAAAAGGGACAGAGTTATGTCTGTTGGCTAATAAATAATGCAGGTACAATCTCACAGAGGGCTGGTGTGACTGAACACTTGTTACAACCTGTGGGCTGCAGGAAAAGTGTTGTGGAGCTGCAGGAAAAGTGTCGTGGAGCTGCAGCTCTCAGTCACAGAGTAGGAGATGAGGGCATCAGCCCTCCCCAAAATCCTGCTTATCCCTGCCTCACACATGGAAGAGGGATGAATGCCAGTATGGTAAAAGTACAAATTTAAACTGAAATACCTCTAGTAAGAGTTAAACTTGCTGAGTTTTAAAATTAGTGTGTTGAGAAATCAGTTCTCACCTTGGCTGCCAGTCTTTGATCCAGCAATGCTTGTGTGCCTATGGGGAGAAGGATTCTTATTTAGTTAATCAATTCCACCACAAATATTTACACACACACACACAAATAGCACAAAAAGAGAGAAAGAGGATGTACTTATATGCAGAACTGTAGGAGTTACACACAGAATCACAGAATGGTTTGGGTTGGAGGGGACATTAAAGCCCATCCAGTCCTGTCACAGGCAGCGACACCTTCCACTAATCCCAGGTTGCTCCAAGCCCCATCCAGCCTGGCCTTGGAAACTTCCAGGGATGTACAAACACATGAAAGCCAATACCAGGCTATCCAAAATGCTCAGCTATCACCCAGCCAAACATGATTGTTCCACAACATCATTATCATACTTTAATCTTTTCATCTCAACCGCAAGAGGAAAAAGCATTTCCAAACAGAAAAGAAAAATTGATAGGTAAAAGGAATTCAAGATATAAAATATTGCCTTTTGATTCAGGGCCTAGTATTTTTGCCTGGCTCAAGTTCAGGAGGCTCTATAAATTTGCTGAATAATTTCAAAGGCCTCTTGCCTGTGTCTTTGCTCAGGAACACATTTAGCTTTGAAATTGCCATTTTAAATATGAGACAAGCCATTTGCTCCTCCACCATCTCTGGTGCAGTGAAGCCTGTGGATTTTTAGAGAGGTTTTTGCCTGTTCCATCTCCAGGAGGAACCCAGACAGGTCCCAGCCCCACAAGGACCTTCAGCACTGGGTGCTCCAAACTCAAATGTCCTGGGGCAGACTTTCTGTGTCCTGCTCCAGTGTGTAGAAACCCACAAGAAGTGAAGGAATGGGAACCCAAAGCCTGAGATCTCTTTAATAAATTGAGTAAACAAGTTTTTGTCTAATGTTTGGACTTTGAAACTGGTTTTTAATTTGGGGAAGAATATATTCCCAATCATGGAAACTTCTAATCTCTTTCCCCGTGTCATCCATGACCTCTGACCTTTGCTTTCCTCTGTACTTAATTCCTTTATTTGTTCTCCTTCACTCACTCCCTAACCAGGCAGTCTGTGTTACAGTTCAAATGCTGCTATACATTTCAAAATCCCACACTTTTCTGGGTTCAATTCTTTTTGGGCAACTCTCCTGAAGCAATGAAGCTTTCACAGTGGCCCTGTCTGCCAGACCTTTTCTTCCTTCACCATTTGCCAATTCATTGGCTTATTTCAATCCAATTTAATAGAGAGGTAGAAGCCCTGAAGATAATTAAATTCCTGTAACGTCTGCAAACATTGGCAGCTGGAGACAGGTAGGGGATTGAAAAGAGAGTCTCTGCTGCAGCAAAAACTGCAGTTTAGCTCGGATATTGGGAAAAATTTCTTCACCAAAAGGGTTGTCCAGGGCAGAGGTGGAGTCCCCATCCCCACAAGGGATTTAACAGCCACATGAGTGTGGCACTTGGGGATATGGCCTTATGGTGGCAGGGCTGGGGAATGGTTGGGCTCAAACATCTCAGAGATTTTTCCAACCTAAACATTTCTAGGAGGTTCCAGGAACATTTCTGCTGGTCTAGACTCAGCCAAGAGATTAAAGTGAGACACATCCCCTGGAGGGAACTGAGGCACTATGGCAAAGAATGGCCATGCTCAGATCCTTCATATCAAAAGATGAAGGATCCAAATACTGAATCTGCAGTGGCAATGAGACTTCAGGAATTCTGCATCTCAGGGTCCAATGTTAACTTTGCTCCTCCTTTCCAAAAGTGCTGATTCCCAATCCTAGTTTCACCTAATTTCTGCAAAAGTGTATAAGAACTGATGACCTGGTACCCAAGGAGGAGAATCTAATTCCAGATGCAGTATCTGTGCATAACCTGCTGTCCTCAGCCTGTAGTTTTTGAATCTGAAAGCTAATGACAGCAACAGAGTGAGTACTTGTATTGTTATTGTCTTTACAACCACTTCTGGTGTAGGACATGGTTTGTGCTACTCTCACACCTGTTCACAACATCATTGCATGAATGACTTGGGTATAACCTTGTGTTCAACAGTTGCACAATATCCTTTACTGCCAATGGGACTGGGCTGGGAGTCAGGAGACAGACTTCCATCTGTTAGCAAAAGGTTGTGGGACTGTGAAAAGTTATCTTTCTTTTTTTTTTTCCTTCTCTGTCCTTTTTTTTTCTCACACACTTTGCCATTTTAATTAGTTGGAGCTAAAAGTCCTTGAGCAGAAAGGCCTCCTTTTTGCACCAGATGTTTGCATGAGCCTAACACATTGGGAGCATTTCTTAGTTCAGGTCCAGATGGGCTATTGCAAAGAAGATAATAACAAGACTAGCAAATACTGATGTTCTCATATCTATATGACAACATCACCTTTGTAATGGGAACACTTGTCTGTATACGTTATGAGAAAACATTTTTACTTGCATATTTAGCTGTAACAGCCCCACTGAAGTGCAAACATAAGATCTTAAAAGTACCTCCATCAAAATTAATGGACAGCCTGACAGAGATCAAACTTGTTTTCTGCGAAGAGATTAATAATCTTACAGCATCTAAGATTTTGCCATGCCTGTCTTGTTTCTGTTTCTCTTGCTCTGAGAGAAAGGCTGGACCTCTCCTGAATGTTGTCTACCACCCACGAGCCTGGCTCAAGACCCATCTATAAATTTCATTTGCCTTTTGAAGAGACGAAATTTTCCTTGACGAAGGTGATTATCAGGTATTAAAGGCTAATCTTATAATAAATTTGTGAATTAGCAAGCTTATTTCTTAACTAGTCAAAAGCAAATCCCTCTTGCTCATACCTTGTTAGGCTGGCATTGCGTGCTATCGTATCTCTGGAATTTAATCATTTGTCAGGGTAAAAAAATCCCAGGCAGAGATATTTGCTCACTGAAATGAGCCAGGGTGGCCAGGTTACTCCCCACAATGTGGGTTTTTTTTTCAAGATTTTTTTAAAATTTAATCCCAAAGGTCTTTTATTTTGTGTCAATTCGTACAATAAAGTTCTCTTTTATTAGAGTGACCTTGCTCATGTGTTGTTAGCACACTTAATTAAACTCTGAAACGCTTAATTCTTTCTGGGGCCCTAATTCTGCTCTATACAAACATTGCTGTGTGCCTTCAACGAGGGAAAGTCAGTGTAATTCGACACAAATTTCAAAGACCTCCCCAAGGCATTTGTTTGTGTGCTGGGCAAAGGAGAGGGGAGGGAAAGAGTTGGATCCTGGCTTTGGAATTGCCCCCGTTCCGAAGGTGAGGACCGTCTGAAACGCTTGGACCCACTTCCAAATCCCCCTGCAGCCTGGAAGCACGGCTTGACTCCGGCCCAGCTGTACCCAAAAGCAGGGATAAATTATGCATGTGAGGGGCTGCAACAGCCTTCACATTAAATATTGATCTGCTGGTCCTGTGCCACGCTGCGAGCCCGAGCATCTCCAGATCCACCTGTCTGCTCCGCGGTGACGGCCGCTCCCGCAGGACCGGCGCTGCAGTGGCACACAAAGCCTCTCGTCTCAAATAGGTGGGTCCAGAGCAAATCTCCTCGGTGTAATTTATTCCACGCCCTTGCTAGCATAACAAGTGTTCCTCAGCCTCTGTGGATGTGTATTCGAGAGGGAGCTGTCTGTCTACATTTGATTTTACATTTCCTTCGGCTGGTTCAGAGATCCATAAGCAAAACCTGGCACCCGGGGACGTTCAAGGGGATTGTGAATTCATAAACAATAAACGGATTACAATCAGACATACCTTAACGTTTTAATCTCTGGCAGATAGGGTTTGGATAAGTGCTTTGGGTAGCTCTGTGTAATAGATTTATTCACCTGAATACATATTTTACTTGGCCATTTCTGAGCAGAAGGATTGCATGGGGTGAGGAAACAAAAAGTCTTCTCCAAGGGTGGCCACCTGCACTCTGTCATTGCTGGCCTGGCAGGCAGAGCTACCTTTCAGCCAGCTGGAGCACTGGAGCACATGCAACACCATTTTCAAAGGAGCCACTGGGCTCATCATCCAACAAGAGTAAGGAAAAACCTCTTTATAATCCTGCCACAGCACTTTTTGACCTGAGCCTCCTGCAGTGGGGGCCATATCTTGGAAATTCCGTGTGGCCTAGGAGACAGATGCTCTTCAAGCCTTCCTTTCCACACCTTTCCCCCAGCCTTCAACATAAAATGGCCATTTTTTGGTCTGGAGGAATTTCTGCAGCCACAAAACACCTCTGACCTCTATGGGTACAACTGCCCCAAGAGATGGGCATACTGCACCCAATATGACGTGGGTTGCAGGCACCAAAAATAAAAATTATTTTTCCTGAGCTCTCCCTCCCATCCTGCAGCAGTTCTCCTACCTCCAGTCGCAGGTCCTCGAGGTACATCAGAATGTTGGAGGCAGATGTCTTCTCCAACCCACTTGCTTGTCTCCTCCACTTGTCAATGTGCTCCTTGTAAAGGTGCTGACGTTTGTTTGAGACATCAAAACTGTAAGACTGAATCAGACCTGTGAAGAATACAAATAACTGTGAGTGTTAAGTAATTTCCCTAACATGAAATAACTGTAAGCAGTTTTCCCAGAATTCCTGCATTGCATCCAAATTTCTAAGTTATAGTTAGTCATCAAAACCGTTTCCAATTATTTTATAAGATGCTCCAAACAAAAATCTGAGCAGCCTGACCATCTAAGAAAGGCTGGAAGGGTTAAAGTAGGGAACTTAATAGCTCACTTGAGTTAAACATTTCCAGTTAAGTCACATATTGAAGTTTTTCCACACTTGAAAACATAGAATCTTTCTGAAAATTACTTAGTAAAGAATTAGTGTGGCATGCCCATTGATTAGGTATTCCAACCAGATGGAAAACTCTTACATGCTCAGCCTTCACTAGATTTCCTTTTTTCTTTTTTTTTTTTTTAATCCTAATTGCAACAAAGCCAAGAAGGAACAAAATTGGAGAAAACAATGCAATAAAAAAAAATAGGAGAATCATACTTTTTTATTATTTTCACGGGAAGATTTGGGTTTAACTCTTGGGAGGAGACTCAGCTCAAATGACATTTTCACACAACCAGTACATCTTCTCCTATCTGCTGCACTGAGCTGGGTTCAAAATAGCTGAATAGCAATAACTACCAGGCCAGTTGTGGATCTGACATTCAGAATCAAGCAGATGGCAAGCACAAAAATACAGTCTGGGTTAAATACTGACCACATTTGCCAGAAGCACAGACAGAGAAACCCCAGCCACATCCAGATCATAGGCAGAGCTCATCCAGATCTACCAAAACAGTAAGAGCAGAATTCCATCTAAATTATTCTGTGCTAATAGTACATGGACATCTGACAGTATTTTTCTTTTTATGCTCTTCCTTTTTTTTTTTTTTTTTTTCTTTTTCCCCTTCAAAAGGATGGAATTTCACTCTGTACCGGACAGTTTGGCCAAGAGCTTTTTCCCAAATGGATGCAATCCCCTTTCTGATGTGAGTGCCTAAGACCAGTCTCCTGCCATTCCATGCAGACACGCTGCCCCCGCGGCGCTGCTGGGTAGGAGGTGATATTTAAAGCCATGCCAATGGAACACAACAGGGGATAGGCAGAGCACCAGCAACAGAAGGAGGATTTTGCAAGAGCTCGCTAGGTCACGTTAAACTCCTTCTCTGGCCACATCCAGTATCCAGCCCGTATGTCTGAGGATCTTTGCTGGAAAGGCTTTGTTATTTATTTGGAAATTTACTGTGGCTGTGGCTTAACTCTGTGTTTTGGAGCTGTTCTTTAATTGATATCGGGCGCTTCATCCTCCATAAACAACAATCAAAGGAGGACAGCGAGGCAGGTGATCAATACCAGTGGATGACCCGGTCTCTATAGGAATGTTACTTATACATCAAAAATTTCTGCTGAAGAAGAGGAAGCAAGTGCACAAGAGCTGTATTTATGAGGTTAAGAGAATCCTACCTTTGGCTAAGCATCAGTAAAAGACTCGTAGAGAAACTTCTTTGTTTCTGGCACAAATAAATATTTATTATTGCACTGGGGAAAAAAGTACTCTCACAAAGCCTAACTATTTTAATAAAAAATTTAATATGTTTATTTCTTCCAGACAGGAGATAAAAAGCTGTCAGAGAAATAATGGTTTAAATTACAGTGAGATGTTTCCTTGCCTAATCTTTCTCTTTCTTCTTTCCCAAAAATCTACGTGGCATACTCAGAAATTTTATTTTTAGTGAGAAATGTCAAGGAAACACTTTATGGTAAGTAGCTGCTCTCTATTAATTCTTTTGTTATTAAATGTGGGAACATTAATTACCATTAATCGTTTTGGCTCTAGTATAGATTTCCCACAATAAATTCTTTAAACACATATACAAACCCTATAATCTAATCAAGTAATTTTCTTCTACCTACTTGGAAGAGAGAAAACAACAAGACTGTTATTGTTATTTCTATTTTTTTTTTTTAATTCTGAGGAGGTGGAGGAGGAACTGGCAATGGGACCGCTATAGGAACAGAGAAAAAACCTAATAACTATTCCAACAGACAGTGTATGTGCTTGTCAGTAATAATCATGCCTTATAAGAGGTAAAGAGCCTTAATAAAATGTACAGAAATTCAGTAAGGAAGAGATTTTTGCAGCTCTAAGTCATCAAGGAAATATATTGCTCTGCAAAAGCAAAGATAATAATTAAACTTTGTTTTTCCTTGAGAAAATAAAAGCAATATCTGAATTAATTCTGCAGCAATTAGCAAGGTGAGTCCTAATGTAGCTGTAATACAGACTACATTTCCAGTGCTGACAATAAAAAAGTTCACATTTAGTGACATAAACATAAGTTTATTGAGATAAAGAAGAAATGTAAAGTTACAAACACAGGTTGCTGTTGTCAGGGTAGTCACAGGAGCTTGTGCTCTGCTGTTTTTCACAGGGTAACACTGGGCTGCTGAACTCTTTTTAAACCTGCCATCACCAGATTCCCAGATTTTCATACTGGCAGGTGCAATTTTTAAACCACAGCGGGTAACTCTGCACAATAACGTTGTCATTACTCCTTGGAAGCCCTAATTTGAATAAACATGATGAATGAATACACTGCATTTCTCAGAACAAACAAGCTGCAACCTCCATCTCAAGCATGGAAGCCACCGTGTGACTGATTAAGTATGGATGCTGCTTGCCAAATCTCACTTTCACTTTTGAACTTGTAATTGTTCTCAGAATGAAGTTTCCATAATGAACAGTTAAAACCATTTACCTCAAATATTGATTTACAGCTGGAGGCCTTGCATTAATACGTGTCTGAGGCACTTTGGGCCTTTTCCACTAATCAGGGTCTGTGCAGGGAGAGGAGAATAACTCTGTGAGGATTCCCTTCACTGGGATGTGATCCACACATTGCACTTCAAAGTCCAGAGCCACTCCTCCAAAATCCAGGAGCTAAAACATGCAGCCACATCCCAGCAGCTCCTCGAGTCCTGTCCTCTCACCTCATGTTCAACTCTTTAGCCCATCCTTGCATAAGTTTAACAAACAGGCTTTTAGTTTCTCCACTCGTGCCTTTCCCCACTCCAGACAGTTCCCACTGTTTCTGCCTCTAAGCTTCAGCTTTTCCATAGCATCTGACCTCCTCCACAAATTTCCTTTTGTGCCCTAGGACTCTGGTGTCCTTTCAGCCTTCTTTCAAGGCATTCTAGACACATAAAAAAAGTCCTTTTTTAACATAAAACTCATCCTTCTAAGGAAAGATAGCCAAACATTACTTCTTTCTTTTTTATCTTCTCTTCCAGAAACTCCCTGAACTGACATAACATTGCACAGCTGAGTCAATTCCTATATCATATCCTATTTCCTTTCCTAAATCTGTTGCTTTTACAGACTGCAAACCACTTCTTGCAGCAGGCAGTTCAAGAGTCTTTTCAAGTAACATGCAGCTGCTGAGCTGCTCCAGGGGTTCTAGACCATCTATGTGAGATGATGCATGGATGTTCCTTAATGAAATCCTCTAGAGGAGAAATAAAGAGGGTCATCACAGGTTATATAAATTCCTTACTGATGGAAATATATTCAAAAAGAATAGTTACTCCAGTAGTTCCCAGAGATGCACAGAACCTTTGTGGAGAACATCAACAGAGATGCAATCCTTCTGGACACTGGAACAGCCTGCCCAGGGCAGTGGTTGAGTCCCCATCCCTGGACCTAAAAGCTGTGTGGATGTGGCCCCTGGGGACATGGGTTAGTGGTGGCATTGGCAGTGCTGGGGATGGTTGGAATTGATGACCTTAGAGGGCTTTTCCAACCTCAGTGTAAGAATAAACCCCATGATTTGCCAAAGCATCGCTGGGAAAACCTGACTTCCCATCTGCTCGGCAGAGAAATCACACCGAGGCCCCCCAGAAACGTGCTAGAGCGTGGATCTGAAAAGGCAGGGAGGTGAAAAAGCTCCTTTTCACCCCTTCCATCCACCAGCAGAGCCGAGGGTAACCTACTTTCCCCCAGGAGTCCCTGTGCCTGTGAGGAGCTCAGGCACAATGGAGCACACGGCGCTACCTCGCACACAATATTTGATATTTTAGCACCCACGGCTTTCCCTCCTCCCAGGATGTCACAGAGCTATTGACATTGACAGAACCAGGTTAACAGAGACTAAAGGAACACGTCAAATTCCTGCCCTTAGCAGGAGGCATTGAATAATGGCTTTTTCCCCCTTTCTGCTTGTTTGTTTGTTGTTTCTTTTTCCCGGTGTAAAAGTTCTCAAGCTCTGGACAACAACAAGTTGCAATACAAGTTGTTGCCCACCATGCTGAAAATGTGCTTTGGATTTTGCACCCTGATCAAGTAGCCTGGACCCCTCTCAAAACGACTCAGTAAAGAGGTAAATTCTGAGATGTAATTTTCTTCAGCTGTATAAACCTTAACATTTTTAGAAAAGATAATCTGAGATCACATAGAATACCTATGTTATTTGAAAAAAAAAATCAAAATTTTGAAAAGAAATATAGTTTTCTTCATTTTTCAATTTATCTCAATTTATACCACAGATAGTGAAAAGTACCCTTATCTCAATATTAGTCAGACAGATTCAGAAAAGAAAAAAAGAAAAAAAAAAAAAGACCTGCAATATTTACCAGTACTGCATTTTTAGTAAATTTAGTCATCTTATTCAAATCTTTTTCACTAGATTATGGTCACTTTCTGGGAAAAAAAGAAAATAAAAAAGACAATAAAAGTGAAAATTCCAAATATTTCCTGCTTCTGCTGTAGAAGAGACAAAATGCCTGTGACTTAGAGAATCTGTCACAAGTTACAAGCATAAATGGCACAGTTTTATATCTTCGGGAATAACATCAAATACACAGAACAGCCCCCTGGTTTTAATCTTATTTTTTCCCTTAATAATTGACCTACATAAGCAACCAAATCCTTGGTACATTTTAGTGGCATGATTTAAATTTCTCTTACGTGTACTGTAGAGTTGTCACTGAAGTCCCT